ATTATTTACAACCGTGAAGAAACATAACGTCATGGACAACAGTGTGGTTTAGGACTGATGTTCAAAACGAGATCCAGAAAACGAGAGGGAGAGAGAGAGAGAGAGAGAGAAATATGTATATATTGGGGGGGGGGGGGGGGGGATGAGGGGAGTTAGATAGTCCGGAGGGGGGGGGGGGGGTATTTCACAAAGATCCTAAGTTGAACTTATCTCTAAGTTGGACTTAACAATTATGGAAAGCCGTTATTTTGTAAAAGTTATTTTAAAAGGCATAACATTTTGAATCAATCATTCATATTTTCTTTTATCAAGGAGGGTTCATGTTCTTGATGTGGAATTTATGAAAAGTCTAATATACTTGCATTTTTGCTTTTGAATATATTTTATTCCGTGGCTACAAATGACTCTCCATTGGGATCTTTGCGAAACACCCCCCTAACGTATAGTTTGATTACAGTCTTATCCAACAAAACCATGCCCAATATAAATCAAAACACTGTACACGATGTAGACACAGTCAATATAAAATACGCTTTAACCAGGGAGTGTGTAATTCCCTGCTTTAACCTAGCATTTTATTATTATTTTTGCACAAAGTACTAAAAAAAAATGATCAACATGATGTGAAAAGCATTTAGAGGTCACATATTTTCCGGCCAGGGACAAAAATAAGCTCGATCCAACCTGACAGGAATAAATTTCTCAAAAGACACGATAGATGGCGCTATGCAAGCAATGACAACCAAATAATTCATTAATGTGTCTGAAGGGCTGTTGAATATTTATCATATAGATAGGAAAGCAGAGATCATTTATGTTTAACCTGGAGGTCAGGGGGAAGGGCTGGGATTGCTCATATACCAGAATATTTCCAATTCCCCCTCTCTTTCTCTTTTCTATCTCTCACAGTAGCTCGTACACACACTCCCCCTCTCTCTCTCTCTCTCTCTCTCTCTCTCTCTCTGTCTTCCCCTAGATTGTCCTTTTACTCTCAATCACTATTCTGCCCTTCCCTCCTCACAACCCCCCTTCCCTCACACCTAGCTCATATGTTACTCTTGGCGCACTCTCGGAAACGCTAGTTCCCAAAGTCTTCCACTTTGTATTAACCTCATAACTCATGCTCTCTCCCCCCGATCAATATCCTTTGTGTGATATCATTAAAAAAAAAGACCAAAGAACAGAAAACGCAATAGGTGAGGAAAAATCTCCCCATAAATAAATTCCCACGATATAATTCACAGCACAATGTCTCAGTCAATACTACAAAACATCTTTAAAAATATATACAGCCAATTAATTTACCGAAATTTGTTTTATATCAGAGGCGTTGCTGCTAGACAAGCAGGAGGGTAGAGGCTCCGAAATATATGCCACAAAACAATGCAGTATTATTATCCTCAAAATTCGTTAGTTTCCTTCTCTCCCCCCCTCTCTCTCTCTCTCTCTCTCTCTCTCTCCCACTCCATACCTCTTTCTTTCTCTTTCTTAATTTCTTTCTCTCTCTCTCTCTCTCTGCCACCCAATATCTCTTTCTTTCACTTTCTTAATTTCTTTCTATCTCTCTCTCTCTCTCTCTTAAATTTTTTGAAATACGAGAATGCTCTTTCTGTAATAGTAAGGTATTAGCCGAATGTTTGATCTGACAAGGTATCACGTCTCTGAACTGACCGCCTATCATGCTGCATGCAACGCCCCTGATAACAGTATACTACAATATGGTATATTTCTCTTGACGAATAGATGCTTTCAATCTTTTGAGCGATATTGACATAATATACATTTAAAAGGTTAAAAAGCCAATCATAATAAAATATTGCAATTTTCCACCAAAATATCATCAGTTTGTTTCATAAACATCGTGATAATAATAACAATGATAATACAACAATGTAGAGGTGTCATGTACGAGTGGATATGTCACCGGACTGTGGATCACAAGGTCCGCGGTTCCACTGTGGCACTAATGTCCTTTGGCAAAACATTGATCTACATTTGCCACTCTCCACCCAGGTGTTAAATGGGTACCCGGTATAATGAGAAAGCTAATGTGCTTAGATTAGCAAGTGTGCGCTTGTAAAAATGACGCCTAACTGGAATGCTCCCCAGGGAGTGGAGAATGTGCATACATTGTGTGCGGGTAAGCCTGAATCCGATGACCGGGGTTATTAGATGATTGCAGGGCCCTCAGGGAGAACAGTAGCATGACTTTACATGGCTGCCGTTATGGCGCTCTATCATTTCAATGAATTAATTCCTGCCAGGTACCCAATCACCTCACTTTTGTCGAGTATGCCAACTGCAGATTAATGTCTTGGCAAATGACATTGGTGCCGTGGCGGGACTCGAACCATGTGTTCCACAGTCCAGTGACGTACCCACTAGACCACAATACTAATAATCATAATACATGTATTCATATTAGTACAACATTTGTAATTAGATGGATCCGAGGGAGACTTTGTTCCCATGTCTCTCATTCCACATTTGTGGACTAGAATAAATAAATTATCATTTGTCAGAACTATGGCTCAACATTTTATGTTGACCCAGGGCAACTAATGTACCAATGTAGGCTACCCGAAAACTAGAATAAGCTGGAAGATTTATTTGCCCAAAACAGCTACACAAAATTTTTCAGTATTTGAAGAAGTTAATGCAATGGAAAAAAGAAAGAAAGGGAGAACAAAATGGAGGGCAAGAGTCACATTATATAGAATAGTTTCATAAGAAAACAAAAGATTGCTTTAAAACATGCAGCACTAGTGCCGAACCTTACATAATAATGAAGTATTTTATCGCACAGATAAAAAAAAAAAAAAAAAAAAACACATTCAAATGTTGACATAGCGTTTCTAATTTTATCAATGAAAGCGCTGTTCTCTATAGTTCATAGTTTTAGACATCATAATAATCTATATGATATAAATAAATTGTATTATGATAGACCGACATGACGCCAAAAAACTGTTACCGTACTATGAATGTGAGATAGTTTTCAGGATCTGAAAGACGTTATACAGAATATGAAGCAAATACGTATTTACATAAAATAACAGTAACAAATATGCCCCAAATCACAAATATATACAAACTTTGCAAATATACACAAATTTAGCTTTAAGCTGGTGTTAAAACATCACTATTACTATACACAAATGCCCTTAAAATTAAATTTCTTGCACATTCGTAAGCCCGTAGAATAAAGTATCTAAACGTCTGATTGCTCTCGATTAATATAACGTCATAACATAGCTGTAAATTGATAAACACAGTTTTAAAAGTTCTTTAAAAAACCTGGGGGAAAGGGCGACTTTCACTTATTTTATTAAAGTCCGGTCGAACCTCGGTCATAAGGATTATAAAAAAGTTTTATCAAAATTACTTTATTCAATAGTGTTTCTTTACAATACCATTGTATGCATATGTTAGAAAAGAAGATGTGCATTATTTTTTAAATGTACCATGAACATCTCCTAGGAAGCAGAATAAAGCAATACTTATTGAATAAACTGGACGGAAAACCTTGCCTTTGAGGACGTCTTACCAAAAAAAAATGTCATGGCTAAAAAATAATTGTACCTTATAATAATGAATAATAAGCCGTCCTTGACTAAAGTGTACTAGAAGAAGAAGTTTGTATATTATTACCCTAACTTGGACTCTGGCGGCCATGATTATTATATGTACTTCTCTCCTCTCTGTTTGCTTTACTTTTCCCTCTCTCTTTGCTCTCTCTCTCTCTCTCTCTCCCCCTTTGTCTCTTTTAGTTTCCTTTCATTTTCTATAGTATCTTCTATTCCTTGCTGTCAGGGGAGATACGGTTATAATATGCTATTTAATATGCTATTTTATATTTTAATATGTTGCCCTATACAGCAACATCCCCTACACTTATTCAATGTGTCAAATGTTAATTAGCCTATACATTTGTTTGTAATTGATTAATATTATATAATGTATCTGAAATAATGATACCGCATCTTGCATTTAATTACATCACTTATAATTGTTTAATAGGCCCTAATTACTTTTCAACTTTGAAGGTAACCCAAGGCTAAACTTCTTATTTCTGTTTTATGTAAATCATCCATTGGAATTGGGACAGGAGGCTTTATGCCACAGTAATTTAGTTAACTTTTTCTGTCCCTGGCGTTCCAATGGTTGATAATTATGTCTTATTTTGTATTGTGTACACTGATATGTAATGTTTTCCTTTGCCGAATAAATAATAATAATAATAATAATTATTGTCTTGCCAAAAGACGTGGGTGCCAGGCTGCGTCTTTTCCCCCGTAATATAGCCATCCTAGAATGCATATTAATATTTGAATATATGAATATTTGCGTTGGTACGGTAAGGTGGAGATCAAATTCGAAATGAAATCGGCCAGATTCTGGACTTAATTAACCAGTATGTCGCAATGATTATGGACAAGTTGCGACCTGGGTAGTCATTCGTTTATGGTAAGCCTCCCGATTTTGTCGGAATGTCACTCATATTTGATAAATAAATATCGCATCAGATTCTGTGTGCGTGCGTTTCATGAATATTGATAACTAGCGCATGACGTATAGGTCCTATTGAGCCAATCAAATGCAGCGACAGGATGGCTATATTACAGAAAAAAAGATATACCAGGCTGGGATTTGAACCCTGAAACCCTTGGATTAAGAGTCAATTGCATGAAACATATAAGAAATATATATATATATATATATATATATATATATATATATATATATATATATATATATATATATATATACATGCGTCAGTACAACGTGTTTACAACTGATTAACAAAATGGCCATGAATATAAAAGCTCTCGTGACAATCATAATGTATTGGCTTTAATTGCGTATGTATTTTGAAATGTGACAGTCACATGACGTTGTTCTGTACGCGTAATTGGTCAATCATTTGAACTATCAGGGGGGGGGGGTGTTTCACAAAACTTGTCATCAGTGACAAATGACAGTTTTTGTTATAAGCTACTGAAATCCTTGCTTCTGATTGGCTATCAGCAGATTTGTCACTGATTTTTGTCATTTGTCATTGAAAAAAGGCTTTGCGAAACGGGCCCCAGGTCTTAGTCCTCTTCAGTTTCACCAAGCTTGACTTCTACCACGACCCTGCCATCGATGTCCTTGAGCAGCTTGCTATCGAGCTCGACGACCACGGTCTTTCGGCCAGACGATCGCGATGTGAACGTGATTTCCCGTCGAATTTTCTCTTTGGCGGGAATGTCTCTGAATAAAGAATCACGAACATTATTTAATTTGTTTCATATTGAAAAATTATGCGACATGCGGGAGAATGCTATTTACAAACTAGCCAGAAGTCATGTTTAACTACTACTACTACTTATACTACTACTACTACTACTACTACTACTTCTACTACTACTACTACTACTACTACTACTACTACTACTACTACTACTACTACTCCTACTACTACTGCTACTATTACTTCTCCTACTGCTACGACTACTAGTACTATTACTATATTACGACTTCTACTGCTACTAATATTACTATACTATATACTGCTGCTGCTACTACTACTACTACTACATGTACTACTACTACTTCTGTACTACTACTACTACTCCTTCTCCTACTACCACTACTCCTACTCCTACTCCTACTACTCCTACTACTTCTTCTACTCCTACTACTTCTTATTCTTCTACTCACTCTTGTTTGACCGTGAAAGGTTTCACAAGCTTGGGCGCTTCGACATGGAATTCACAATTGGTGAGGGGTCGATCTAGAGGGTTCTCGAACTCGACTATCAGTTTGACCTCTGACCCGTTGACCTCTGAGTTGACCTCTAGGTCAGGCTGTTTCAACCGGATGCTATCCTCCCGGGTGATTGGCTTTGAGCTCCCCTAGTTGATCGAATATTATACAGTTATTGACTGGCAGGGGGTGTAATATAAACAAATATGATCCTACATTTACAGCGATACACATATTCGTCATATTTAAAGATACATTTGAGCTCTGGTCATCAGGCGCGTAGCCACGGGGGGGGGGGGGGGGGGGGGGGGGGGCACGGGGGGGGGGGGCACGTGCCCCACCCCTAAAATTTCCAGGATCGGTTGAAATTTTGTAGACCCCTTTTTTTACCTCGATCGATTACATGTATGTGCCCCCCCCCCCCCCCCCCCCCCCCCCCCCCCCACCCCCCCCCCCCCCCCCCCCCCCCCCCCCCCCCCCCCCCCCCCCCCCCCAACATCAAACTCTGGCTACGCGCCTGCTGGTCATGCGATTGCATTGTGAAAGAAAAGTTGTGGAATCGATCAGAAAAGATTGATCATGTATAGAGCATATGTTATATGAGTATTGGTATGTACTGCAAGGTTCTGGAATCATCAACATTATAAGAAATTTGGCCCAGTCTTGGTAAATTTACAAGTACTGTACACAGAAAGATGTATATGGGACTACACGAGCATGTGGCATAAAAATCCGTCTCGATTTGTATGATGTTGCATGCCATATTTAGAATATTAAGGCATTTGAAGAGCCATGCTTTTCAGGGAACATTTGTTATCAGATGTTCTTCCACACTTGCATAATACAATGATAACGCTCACCACTTTTTTGTTTACCACTTCCCAGAACTCAACCTTCTCTTTAAAATAAAACAATTTGGGGGTAAAATGACTGGCAGGTGGAAAAATTGTTAACAATCACTCTCGTAGTTTCACGACGCTAATTAACATTTTTGGTTGCGACTTAAATTATGGTATGCCAATTCCGTTTTCAAAATGGAGCACACGTATGGGTGCGCGTCTCAAGTCCCCCCCCTCCCCCACCCCCATCCTGTTTCCAGCAAGTGATTTTGCTTGTGTTTCTCTGATATGAACAATTATGCCAATTAATTCATGGTGGATTTTAATTCTTTCATTTCTAATGAATTTTATTTCATATGTAAACACGGCTTAATTTACAGCATCATCGACATTTGCTCCTGACTACATTTCGTCAGAGATTTAACGTTATGTTAAAGTTATTTTTAACTTTACATTGGGTTTTATAAAAAGGTTAGGGTTAGGATCAGGGCCTGACACTGTTATTCATACTTTTTTGTAATGTGTTTTCATAGTGGAAAATAATGATTTGATGTGATTTGATTTGGTAAGGTTTGGTTCATCTTGTTTAGTCCAGGGTCGGAGTTAGGAACTCGTCTCGACATCTCACCTTAACACGTCCGATGACGGATATGGCAAACATTCCCTCATCGTCGAGCTTCTCTCCGTAATCGTTGTATTCGACGTTGATGACGTTAGTCACGCTCTCCTTGCCTTGCAGGACGATATCGATGACTTCCGTCTTGATCGTAGCCTTTGTCCTACCTGAAGAGAGGTAGAGAGAGAGAGAGAGAGAGAGAGAGAGAGAGAGGGTAAGAGAGAGTGAGTTAGAGAGAGAGAAAAAATAAAGAAATAAAGAATGAGAGAGAGCGAGAGAGGAAGAGCGAGTAAGAGTGGGAGAGAAAGGAAGAGAGGGAAAGAGAGAGGAGAGAGAGCGGGAGAGACGGAGAGAGTGAGTGAAATAGAGAGAAAAGAAAATAAAGAATGAAAGAGAGAGGAAGGGAGAGCGAGAGAGAGAGGAGAAACAATTAAGTGAACTTTAATTAATTCTGAACATTATTTATTGATGATCGGATTTCTTATTTGATTGACTATCAGCAGATTTGTCACTGATTTTTGTGTCATTTGTCATTACAAAAGGCTTTGTGAATCACCCCCCCCCCCCCCGATCTTTGAACTTACCTGTGTAGTCAGAGCTTTTAATCTCTGTCTTGAGTTTGATCTCCTTGGCCTGGTCGCTGTCGTTCTTTGTTTCGATCTTGACATTGAAAGGACGACCTATCCAGAGGTCATCCTAATACGGAAAGAAAGAATAAATGAATAGTTAGTTACATGTCAAACATTGGGGACTGTTAGATTTGTACGACGACAACGTGAACTGCTACGTGTGACGTCCTTTTAAGGCATTGCCAGTGCCTTAAAAGGACGTCAGATGTGACTGACAGTGCCTTAAAAAGACGTCACACGTAGCAGTCCACGCAAATCTAAAATTCCGCATTCACACAGAGTCACATACATGCTAGAGCCGCACTAGGACTCGAACGTGATCCACAGTCCATTGAAATATCCACTATACCATGACACCTCTACAATGTCTTGCATATAGCTATGTGTATTGTTTTCAGACACAAGAGATTTCATGAGAAAAATATAGCACTAAATATCCGTATCCGGGTGCTTACCCTCTGGACATCGACCCCCGGATAACCACCCCAGTCAACTACCCCTAGGACAACTACCCCCTAGGGCAACCACCCTCTAGAACGACTTCCCCCTGGGACAACTACCACGGAAAACTACCCCACAGTAAACTACACATGGGACAACTACCCCCGGACTACTACCCTCTAGTACAACTACCCCGGACAACCACCCCTAGAATAGGGGGTAGTTGTCCGGAGGGGTGGTTGTCCCAGGGGGGAGACGTCCTAGAGGGTGGTTGCCCTAGGGGTAGTTGACTAGGGTTGGATAGCAATATCTAATTTACCTCGCATGAGATTGTCAACGTTACATCGTCAGGTATTCCGTCGACGTCGTACATCCCCGGTTGATGCCCTTGTTGACCGCCTCCTCGACCGCAGCGCGTTCCTCGGGAGAGTCTAGAGATGGGAGGATGAAACGGTAAAGCAGCCGATTTAGTGTGCAGACATGGCTTATTGTCGGTTGAGACAAATGAGGTTAAATTGAATTCACTTAGCAAAGTGGGCCACCTACGTACCGTATTCAACATCGGATATCGGTATATCTTACCTATTTTTTCTTCTTTTTTTCTTTCTTACTTTAGTTCTTCTTCCCTCTATACATTATAAGTTCAAGTCATTTGAATATTCCTTTCTTGCATGTACACGTGTGCTTTAATTTGTTGTAAATATTTTTCTTTCAGCGGTAAGTTCTACATTACAATGATCTCTTATGTATTTATTTTGTATAATACTTATATATAAATTGTTTTCATTATTTTTTTTTAATCCAGGGCCCTCACGGACAGTAAGTGTTTAAATAAAACTTTACATAAAACAAAATATCAATTATCAAATATTATGCCAAATTTTTGTATTTTACCGTTTTTAAATTTATATTCAAGAGTGATGTCATTCCTGTCATCCGATCCCACTTTCTTCGTACTGATCACGTGACCGGCTTTATCTTTGTCAAGCTTCGATAATGTGTACTTCAAACCATCTCGATGATTCGGGTACGGAGCCACGAGCCATGTGACGTCATCTGCATTGACCTCGGCAAAGACAAACCTTTGGAAGAAAATGATAAAAACACACACTGACACCTCAGTCACACTCAAGAGACTGACACGAGACCGATGGCAGATCGACCCAAACTTTACATTACCCCCGACTGGCCCAAATCGATTAGTTTAGGAGGCGAGTTGGCTCAGTCGGTAAAGCGTCTGCCTGTCGAACCAAAGATCCCGGGTTCGACTCCCATTCAGGCGGATGACTAAGCCTGCGTTGTGTGTTAACGTGCCCCTCCCCTTGTTCATAGACGCAGGCTATGATAAGTGGAAAACACTCCGTCCCTCGGATATGACGTTAAATGGAGGCCCCGTGTAGAGAAGAGTCACTACCTTTGTACGTTAAGAACCCATTGCACTATTCGTATAAGAGTAGGGGGAACCCCGGTGTAGTGGTCCACCTGCACACACCCCAGTATAGTACGATAATACTCTGTAAAGAGGTATGTACTCAAAAAATGGAAGAAGAATGCGGAGTCGGTTCGGAAGTGTGTCTCACTTATTACACAGGTAAAGAGACATGGCGAGGTGACTTTCACACGTATAAGGTCAAGGGAAATCGCATGTACGAGCTCATTTTAGCGCAATCACCCCAATCAAGCCGAATCCGCAGTGACCCATGCACACCGACTCTACCCCGACTCCACGCCGACTCTTGACCGACCGGAAGACCCTTGACCCTTGGAATACACTAGGAAGTAAGGTTATTGAAGCTGTCTTCGAGTAGATTTCTTGAGAGTTTTTGGGAGTCGTAGAGAAAGTAAATTCTTACCCTGTATCATAGCCTTGGTTCACAATGCCACGTTTGACGGCCTTCACAGGGGCTGGGCCACACTGGTATTTACCTGACAGATGATAATAATAACAACAACATCAATAGTGAAAATAATGATAATTCTAATGACGATGATAACAATAACCATAACAATTATAAAGAGAACAATTATAATGAATCATACTACAAATTCGTATAGTAAAAAAGGGGGGAATATTATTATTACTTCTACTGCAACTACCATACGATTTAAAGGAGAAATCTTATACCTTGACTTAGCTCCTGCGGTGTTGAATCGACAGCCTGCCAGCCATCATAACCCTTGTCCAAGTCTCGTCTGGTCATCCACGCCTCATTCCACACATGGAAGTTCCAGACAGAGTCACCGCCAGTCCGAGCCACGTCATCCCTTCCGCCTGAAGTTCGAAAGAAATCGTAGTCGAGCTTGTTTCCCTCGCTATCCTGGTACCTGTCGATCGTCATGTTGTTTTCGGTGTCATGCGCAGAATCGAAGTTGGTGACGCTACGGGCTGGAATCCCGATACAGCGGAGGAATGTGGTGAGGAGGCCTGAGAAAACCCAGCACTGACCATATCTGTAAAACACAATATAACCCGTTTATGAAGGACAATTAATAACCTGTTTGTGAAGGACATTAATAACCCGTTTGTGAAGGACAATTAATAACCTGTTTGTGGAGGACATTAATAACCCGTTTGTGAAGGACAATTAATAACCTGTTTGTGAAGGACATTAATAACCCGTTTGTGAAGGACAATTAATAACCTGTTTGTGGAGGACATTAATAACCCGTTTGTGAAGGACAATTAATAACCTGTTTGTGAAGGACATTAATAACCCGTTTATGAAGGACAATTAATAACCTGTTTGTGAAGGACAATTAATAACCTGTTTGTGAAGGACAATTAATAACCTGTTTGTGAAGGACAATTAATAACCTGTTTGTGGAGGACATTAATAACCCGTTTGTGAAGGACAATTAATAACCTGTTTGTGGAGGACATTAATAACCCGTTTGTGAAGGACAATTAATAACCTGTTTGTGAAGGACATTAATAACCCGTTTGTGAAGGACAATTAATAACCTGTTTGTGGAGGACATTAATAACCCGTTTGTGAAGGACAATTAATAACCTGTTTGTGAAGGACATTAATAACCCGTTTATGAAGGACAATTAATAACCTGTTTGTGAAGGACATTAATAACCCGTTTGTGAAGGACAATTAATAACCTGTTTGTGGAGGACATTAATAACCCGTTTGTGAAGGACAATTAATAACCTGTTTGTGAAGGACATTAATAACCTGTTTGTGAAGGACAATTAATAACCTGTTTGTGGAGGACAATGAAAATCCCCCGTTTTTGACAAGTCATGTATGAGTGTAGACGCGTAACCTTCTAAATTATATCATAAAAGGCATCCCGAAGATGATTGTTCAAAACGGCCTACGATTGCACTTTTCTTAAACATGTTAATCTTAATGTGTTTGTTGGTTCAGAATGTCTATGAATACACCTGATTCAGCAATATTTTGTAGCAATGGCTCAATTTTGTTTTCCTTTTTCTATCACGAGGACATGTCATCAAATATATTACACTATTTCTAGTCTTATGAAGCAAGACTATTTGTTGCAGAAGATGGTATTTAACAGTTTAATTGTTCTTACTTGACAGGTGTCTTGGCTTTTCCGTGCTCTTCTATGATAGCCACACTGCCTTTCCACCTAGACGGAGGGGTACCACCCGCGTAGTCTCCACTCCAATTACCATGGAGGACTTCATCATTGACAATGAAGGAAAACCACCTTGATACCTTGACAGCACTTCGCCTGTCTTTGGCACTGACGTGCTTCTCCAGGAGCTCAAAGACCACTCGATGAACCTCCAAATCGAACTGTCCAAAGTTCCAGGGTTTTGGGCGGCTGCTGTGGGAATTCCCCCTCCAGATTGCCCCGCTGTCCTCAAGGATGTACTCTTCTCGTTCGGCCTTGTCCCCCATAAACACGGTATCCTTCTCGCACCATGGATTGAACAGAACCATGATCTTCTTGTCTTGAGGGAAGACCGTCTCCAGACCACTCGCTCGGCTTTCGACTTTGACAGTCAGCTTGTAACTGCCGACAATGGCATTGGGGGCGCTGTTCACCGTGACCTGAATGGTGTTGTCTTCTGCTGACTCCATCTTTGCACTCCAGGCCCCGTCTTTGTAAGTACCATTGATGTCCAGGGCTATTAGGGTCCCGTCCATTGGTCTAGGAACCTTGGCTGCAAGAGAAAGAAATGCGTGTCGGAAACACATCTACCACATTAAAAAGTCACCACTGGACATTCATGACCAGGAGTATCATCCATATCGAACAACTCCTGTATTAATATCACCTTTCTTTTTTTTTAATTTTTTTTTATTACACGGTAAAAGCCCAAAACAATTCGCAGACTGGTATATCCATGTCATTCCCTCTGAATCATAAAGGTTTAGACCAATTTGGAAACGCCCTCCTCTCAAAAAAATGAAATGGAAGCTCTTATTACCAATCATGTGAAAGAATATGTTTTTACTAATACGTGATGATACAAATTTTGCCCGAGAACCGCCTACTAATTGATATATTTGGTAAATTATTATATATTTCCGGACCGGACAGATATCGCGCACGTGTCGCGTAGTCCCATATACATCTTTCTGTGTACAGGTGCTTGCAACTTTACCAAGACTGGTCCAAATTTCTTATCATTCTGATGATTCCAGAACCTTGCAGACGTTGCAATACACACCAATACTTATATGCTACATGATCAACCTTTTCTGATCATCTGTTTTATTATTTTATTAATGTTTGTTTGTAAAGTAGCACTGTTAGGAGTTTTGTTTTTATCACAGCGCAGTAGAGTATATTTATATAGGAGCTGCTCTATACAAATTGATTTTGGAATTGATATTGATACCTTTAGCAGAAAACTGGAGAGAGATGCGTTCCTTGTTCTGCTTGAAGGCCCTGCTGAGAAGGATGACGATCTTGAACTCCTGACCTCGTCTTACAATGAGACCACGTCCAGATGACTTGTCGAACTCGTACTCCTTGGTTTCATGCAGTAATGCATTGGACATCGCCTAGAAATCCATGATTGGACAAAAGAAACAAAAGCCCCAAACATCAAATAATGCTGTCTTTTATTTTCATGAATTGCAACTGTGCATGCACAACGAAATTTCTGCATGCTCATCTTCTCTGAGCTCTGAGCTTTATAGTGGTGGTTATTTTACCTGGCAGCTAAGAAATCAATAAATGCTTGGTAGTAAGCAATCAGAAGACCGACGGATTTAGGCCCTCTCCGAGGGACCTGTTAATGATGATTAATGCCTTACCAAAGGGAACTAGCGCATCGACTTGGTTTACGAGACCACTGCTCTACCGACTGCATGGGCTATCGCGCCTCCTGCTGAGCTATCGTGCCTCCTAAGAAACGGTGATGTGAAGCATGTTACACTTTACTTCATTGTCAATTGCCATTATGTGGATTTCTTGAAAGTATTTGTAATCATGGTAATTGCTAATCCAAATCAGATTTATGAAAAAGGGCCGTAGCTGAGAGGACAGATAAGACGAAGTGTGGCTTACATTTAGTTTGACACCTGTAACCTTGAGAGATGGAATCCTGGTAGGCATCGGCGGAGGCGGACCACCAGCATCACCGCCAGCATCACCAGCAGCGTCACCACCACCACCACCACCAGCAGCATCACCTCCAGCGGGGGCTTCACCTGAGGCTGAGTAAACGACACAATATGACAAATTACACATGTACACATTCACTCTGAACTTATATATGAAGAGCTTAATTCCAAAAGGAGCTAAATCCACTTTTGATGAAAATAGAGTTATTGATATCAGAACATTGTTCACTTGAGTACCCGTCTTTGAACAAAATTATTTACTTAAATTTTTGGAGCAATTATGAAAAAAATGCAACTTCTAATATCACTTTTCCATAGACGCCTGTACAAAATTTGGTAAACAATGGCCTTTTCTTCCAGAATTACAAACATGGATTTAGCTCCTTTTGGAATGAAACTCTTCATATGTTAGAGAGACTGAGAGCTTTTGACCTCTCCTGCGTAAATGATACAATATTGAAAATTATACATTTACACATTGAGATAAATTTAAAACATGTAGACAGAGAGGAAGAGAGAGAGAGAAAGAGAGAGAGAATATATATATATATATATATATATATATATATATATATATATTAAAAAGAAAGAAACAGTAACCCACCTCCTCCTCCTCCTCCTCCTCCTCCTCCTTCGGGTACGGGAGCGTCATCCTCATCATTCTCCTCCTCGAATGTCTCTGGCGGTGGTAGTGAGCCCAGCCAGGAGAGAAGCCATTCATCGAAGACGTCCTCCGTTGGTATTTCGCAACCACATCCTCTTCCCCCTCCTCCTCCACCACCTCCATCACCTCCTCTTCCTTCCCCTCCCGCCGCACCTCCTCCTCCACTACCTCTACCTCCTTCAGTGGCCGCACCTTTGCTAGTACCGGTGCCCATACTGAAAAAAAAAGAGATATTAATAACAATGATCATAGCAGTGATGTTGATTAAGAGGACGATGATGATAATTACAATGATAATAATATTTGTCTAAAAAAAAAAAAATAATAATAATACTAATAATAACATAATAATAATAATAAAACAACAACAAACAAATATTATACAATACTGGTGATAATGATAATAATAATGACTATAATGATGATAAGGATGTTAATGAGCATCATGATGAGCAGTAGCAAAAACAATAGTTATAATGACAATAATTACATTTTTTAATTAAAATTAAATTTGCATAAAACAAAACTGAAGAGCGAAATAAATTGTTTATTAAATAACTCTATGTATGCTTGCTATCTATGAAGTACTTGTAGAATCAGCTATTCAGCTTGGCTATGGCTCCAAGCATCTACCAAAATGTGTCGGAATATAGGGCAAAAAGCAGAAAGTTTGGCAAAATAGTTTATGACATCCTATAACGTAATGATCGTAGCGTAAAAGAGTCACTGTGTGGCCTTGTAATGTACCGAATTATTGAAATTATATTCTGCTTACTAATACAAGTATTTAGAAGATTATGACGAATATTGCAAAAGAAAAAGAATATAAAAGAAAACTGACATCGTGTTTTTTTCATAATAGTCAATAATTAAGAACCGAAATAAAAGGAAGCGCCAATAATTGGCTTGTCTTGTAAAAGCCTGTACCTAAGATAAAAGTAAGAGCCAAGCCACTGTCAAAAACACATTCATATATGTATATATATATATATATGTGACGTAAATGCATAATTTGTGGGATCTTGATCTAAATAAGGAATAAAAAGAAAGGAAAGTAGGCCTACAGAAGATTCAGAAGAACAGAGAGGATTAAAGGATAAGGTCATCTGAATAATATAGATTACGATAATAATCCCTTTTTAACAAAATACCCATATTTTATACATGCCACTTTAATCTTCCACAGGGAAGTCTCGCCATTGCACTATTTCTATTCATTTAAATTCGTAATCAATACTTCCGACCTTGACTTATCTGTTAATGCATTAATTCATTGAACCATGCGCGAAATAATAATCCAGATATATTATCATGCCCTTGTAAATAGTCCATCAACACGCACCCATTCAATAAACGTGTACCCTTAGAAACGGGTAACAAATATCGTTATGTATACTGCATTAAAAACGTGCCCTATATATAACAACAACGGGCTGCTCTGGGCAACTATAAGTAAATGCGTTTGGAATCACTAAATGTGCATTCAATAATGATATGTTTCATCTGGGCCTAATCATACTAATTGGACATTAACTTTAATGAGTCATATTATACGGATTGCCTTACATTGGAGATGAATCTTAGCAAATTATGATGGGACTCACTCCAAAAAAGTGGTTTGAATTCATCCTTTGTGAGAGGATTCCACGATTTTGAGAGTGTATTTCTATTCTAAAACGGAGAGAGATCACTGACAGGCTCCTGAAAGAGTGTTTAATTTTCATTCCTGTATATTAAGGAAGCAGACGATCACTTCAATCTACAAAATATACTTTTAAAAATAATATCAAGCTGAAGCCCTTTTTACGAATATCTACTCTTTCAATAAAAATAAATAAATGAATTGCATTTTAGCAAAATGTCAATTATTCATCAAAATAAACAATTCATAAACAAATTAAAATACATATTATGACACGACATGAGGATATTCGAGTAACTGGAAGTCCAAAAAGGCTTAAATGTACCAGGTGACGGCAGCCCCAAAATTAATATTTGGGGAGGGGGCAGCTGCCCCCACATTCCCCAAACCCATCCGCCTCGTATGCCTACGATTAGCAAACAATTGCACAAACAGACACTAACAAATTGTTAGTACATCATTTTATTGATACTTAAAGCAGTAAAGGAACGGGGACAGTATGGCAAAACGTAAAAAGAAATGGATAACATAGTAAGAAAAGCCCATGATTGGAAGTTCGTGCAGGGAAGGTACCGTAGCAAGATAAAATTGTTAAAAAAATTGCTTTAACAAAAATATTATACAGATTAGATAGCTACGTAATGTGATACATGTTACACAATGTCGAAAAATAGTTAATACTAAGCTCTTCTTTTGTTTCATTATATAACCAAAAAATAATGACATAATTGGATCCTAATTCATATCTTGACACTATCGCCGTAGTATCTGGACACTCCATCAACCATTTTTTCCCGAGAAAAATGACCCCTAATGATGGGTAGGGGTTTCGAGGCTTGATGAGCGGCACACGCCCGTCCAAACCAAATCTGGGTACCCCCCCCCCCCCCGGGCATTAACATCACTCGCCGTGTTAATTCCTATTTGTACTTATACAAATTAATGTTGTGAATCGAGAAATATGTTTGAAATGCCATACTTGTCTTGAAACTTGCAGCTCTTTTCTCCCGCCATTTTTTTTCACTGATTTTGTTTTTTGCTTGTAGTTTTTTTTGCAAAATTGCAGGTGTGTACACGCATTGCATGAGTGTTTTTTTGTGGGGGCGGGAGAAGACTACCTATGGTCCGCCAAGTTATGACAATCGTTAGCTGTGGCCCGCGATCTCCTACCCGGGACAGGTGACACCAAATACTTAAAGGGATTGGGTAACTTTGCCTCAGATTCTTTAAAAAAATCCTGGATTTAGCTCATGCTACAATCATAATTATGAACCTTTAGGTCATACATGAATCTCATGGCTTTTACAAGCCAATCACCTGTCTGATTATCAAGATATCTATGATTGGAATTAAAAAAAAAAAAAATCAGAATTCGTTTTCCTATAAGGATTTTTATAACACTACACACTACAATCTATTGGAGAAAAACGAGTATGGTAAAACCGGTCACTAAAAGATTTTTACTTTTTTGAGGCACTTAGTGCTCATTTTGAAGCGCAATTTGTTTTAGGGCTTCAATATTACACCACATCACATACACTGATGACACGTATGGCCATGCATCTCAGATTTAACATTGTTAAACGATGCCTTTAATAATACACGCCGAATGTTTTTACCCTCCTCTAGCTTCAATCGAGGTATTGTTATCATCATCATCATTATTGTTCACATACATAGATATGATCGATAAGAACCATGCACACTATAGACATTGCTTTGTAAATTGTCTTAATGGAATAATGCATACGGTTATTATTATTATTGATCATATTTTAAGGTAAAAAATATTCATAAAACATCAGGAAACTTACATTTTAGATGAGATGTGTGTTTGTATTAGAGAAAATCACCTTATTCCAATTATATAATCCACAGGTTTCTTTTTCGGTATTCGAATAGATTCCGGTGGCTTAAATGTCAACGAATGACAGCCTGTTTATATTCGCCCCGGGATTGCAACTACAAGTATTCAGCAGATACCAGCCAACATGAAACCATGCATGGAAATGAGCCTGTGTTTGTCTAGGCCAAATTAGAAAGGTATCTCCCGGGTACAATAAAATACCGTGATCAATAGAACCTTTCTATTTGTGCAGATTGGTGATGGCTGATTCGCAGCAAATATGAAGTTCATTTAGATTGTTGCTATGGAAGCGCGTCCCCGTTGCTAAGTGAGAAAGGATACAGAGGGTGCACATAGATCAAGGGCTAAATACAGCAAACCGTTGTGTATGCCTATAAACCAGGAGATTGGATTATGTATGATTACGTGTGCGTGTGTGTGTGCGTGTGTATGTGTGTGTGTGAGAGAGAGAGAGAGAGAGAGATTTAAAAAAAAAA